GAGATTTGTCCCTGTCTGGGAATGCTTGCATTGGATCACAGCTATTTCGGAAGGGCATTCAGGTGTACAGATGACCCAAAACTGCTAATAATTGAACTACCACTCCTGGTTCGGACAAATCTCCATTTCTTACTTTACGTCTTCCCAGTGATAGACATTTCTCAGTTCTATCTTTGAAGTTCACAACCCTTATTTCCGACAGCTATGCACTCAATGCTTCAATCCCAAGATTGGCCAAAAGTCTTGCCGTCCGGTACGGTTGGATGTCCACTGTAGCTTTTGCCAACGTAGCTTCGGCAAGAGAGACTAGCTTGAAAGGCTTAGCAAGGATTTTCTTGGCAATGTTTTGGAATATAGGTGTAACGGTAAATACTACTGATGAGACATGTGAGTAGTATGTTTTCTTGTAACTTCACCTTACGTCAATTGGAAAGTGGGATTTATTACGGAATTCGTGTAATTGCCTTGTAGCATTTGTTTACATTTGAGAGGTAGTCAATGAATATCCGAGTAAGTTTGAGAAGTAGACGGATATTCAGTTTTTGTAAACAAGATGCATATGAGAGTTTTGCTTCCCTGTCCAATAGTCTGTAACTATTCATCTGACATTTTCTTATAAATAACTTCGCAGAGGAGGCCTTCCTTACACTAATTTCTGGCAACTGATGATGTTTTCCCCGAGTTGACGTCCACGTGAAGCACGGTTCCGTGTTGAGTTGAATTAGGTAGATTCTGTACAGTCGAAGGTCATTTTGAATTTACAACCTGTAAATTACGAAACATCTTAACACTTGATGAAATATTTGGGATACAGACTTGGCTAAGACGGGAGATTACTGCTTGTGGCATTCTGGCATCAATCAGAATGTGAGCCAAAAAATTACGGTAAGTGGACTTCCCGGGAGGTAAGAGTTTGTGCTTGCAGCAGGTGTCTCAGGTAAATATCTGTAAAGTAAGTGACTCGTTAGGTGTTTTGGTAACCTGAGGAGTGGTTCTCAAAGGGCTTCGGGAAAAGGTCAGAGAAACACAGATTTTAAGTGGCCTGTGAGTAAGGCTAAGATGGAAAGAAAGTCTCCCTAGTTTCATGACACTTTATTGTCAGACGCCGAAATATACCACTGACTGGTTGGATGTGGGTAACACAGTCAGGTCACGTGAAAAGGTCATACCCGTACAAGCTCTGGAGCAAGAAGCACTTGGTAGGACTTTGTTCCGTTAACAAAAGGTGAGTTGCAAGATAACACTTGAATCTGAGCTCATACGAATCCGCCCTGGTACGCGCTATCTTAAATAGCCAACTGTAAATGACTTATCATAAAAAGAATCAGGCAAGGGTTTTTCTTCAAGAAGTTTCCCGAAAACGATAGTTTTTTCTCAGGATGACTGGGCTGTAGCGAAAAAGCACTGACCCTTCAGGTGTAACGCATAAAGTACAACTTATTTGATCAAACTCCCAATGGTTCCTAAAGGAAACTACTCATAAGGTTGCTGAAAACTCTTCGACAACCCACGACCGGTTTCGCCTTTCTTGTAGCTCATCAGGTAGGCGTGCAGTCCCCGACTTTCCATCGACAAATTTTATCCACTCTAAAAGGTGAAATCTAATTAGTTTATCAGCACTTAAACGTAGAAAATCGATGATGAATACAACTCAGTCCAATACATGGCTAATCAGCCAATGATCGTGGCTGCGCCGTCCACCTCGGTTTGTCGCATTGCGGAATAGCGTCAGCTGGGACAAAATGCGGGAAATTCCCTGGAAAAATTTTGAAAAGAGTAAAATTAATTCAGTCGAGGTGTGAAGGTTTATGAGTAAGGAGCCAGTTAAATCATCTCGCGGAAGATGAATTAGGTGCCTTAGAGTGACCAAAGCAGAAATTGTTGATCTACACCAAAATCGTGATGCTATGAATCTGGGTCAGAAAAAGGCAGCTTCCGATTGGATGCAGTCCCTTAGTTCAGCAACGGCAGGCGATGATGAGTGTTCAGGCATGTCATGGGAGGACGGTCGACGATCATGATGGTTCACCGAACGCAAATTGGACTACTACCTGAATCAAGGTCAAAAGTGAGTAACACTCGCTTGTGCGCCATAAAACTGGTGTTTTCTTTGTCCACGAGTGGTTTTCAAACATCAAGGCAGTGGAGTGGTCAAAATACGGAAAAGGTTTGTAGAGGAAGCAAAGTCAACCGGACCAAGAGTCATTTTCTCTCGAAAGAATGTCCGGAGAATTGTCGGAATACATATATATTTTGCAACGCACTACTCAAAAGGTTGCTGAAAACGCTTCGACAGTCCACGACCGCTTTCGCCCTTTTACTTTGGGCTCACCAGGTAGGCGAAGTCCCCGAGTTTCCCTCAACCTTATGTTCTACTTGAAACCAAATTGCACGAAATTAGCGAATATACACTCATTTGCAAACTAATTTGGTTTTTCGAGAGACTCACCTGGAACTCAGCTGAATCGTTTGTGATGTTCCCAGGCAACTGCTGAATGTTCTGCTGCACCAGGCCGCCTCATGTTTCAGTCGCTACGATATTCAAGGTATCGCCATATATGTATATTTCTAAGGCACTACTCATCAGGCTGCTGAAACTTCGTTTACAGCCCACGACCGGTTTCAGGCTGCTGAAACTTCGTTGACAGCCCACGACCGGTTTAGCCCTTCTTGGGGCTCATTAGGTAGGCACATTACCCCAGGTTCCGTCAAACTGATGTTCTACTTGAACTCAAATCGCACGAACTTAGTGAAATACATCTATTTGCTAACTAATTTGATTTTTCAAGAGACTCATATGGAACCCAGATCGTTTGTGATGTTCTCAGGTAACTGAATGTTCTACACCAGGCCTCCTTATGCTACAATATTCGAGATGTCGCGGTACATATATATTTTATAATGCACTACTCATCCTGAAAGCTTGCTTTCTAAAAATTTTCGAAAAACAGTTGACGAATAATAGAGTTTAATTTATGTTGGACAAGTTTCAGAGAAACGTCATGAAGCATTTTCTCCAAACACTTTGGTCCAATTAGAAAACGTCACTTAAACGGAAGTAAATTGAGAATCTTCAGGATAGCAATTAAGCACCTGTCAAGCAATTTGACTGGTACTATAATTGTTTTTTTTCTCACAGGGGACGAATTATTCCTATCGACACTAAAATATCCCTGTCCAAGTTTGTACTTGAAGAGAATGTCGACGAACCTGTTGGTGTTATTACGGGTTTGTATTGGCCCAATTCTCGTTGTACTATAATTTTTCAGGTACTTTAAACGCACGCAAACAATTTATGATGATATCAAATTGTTTTTGGGATGTCTCACTTCATCTTGAAGTTCATTACTGTATTTTTTATTCCAACGTGCATTACTTCAAGTAGTAATACATGTTTATGCAGACTTTTCAAATAGTTGCCTGAAGAACAATATGGAAAGGAACGCACAGATTGACGAGAAACGCTCCATACACGGTTTTGGGATTTAGTAAAATACAGACTCACGTGATTTCCGTTTGAACACTCGTCCTCCTGTCCCGGTGTAATCATTCTGGTGAGTCCACACCAATGGGGGGAAGGGAAGCACCGGACTCGAGTTTCGCTCTTATTAGAACTCGTCAGCAGTGTCAGGGTTTGAATTTTGAACATCTGACAAGCGAGGTGTTACCATCACCCCACCAGCTCACCCTGGACTCATTCGGATTTGTACGTTTGAACAGGTAAACGCGCTTGAGTGATGTGAGCGTTCACGTACTATACCTTGGTTGTACCGATCGATTGGCCCTCCAATCAGAACTTCCCATTCAGGTAGCACCACAAACGCTTCAAACCTGCTGGGCACATTCTGCTTCAGGTGTTGGTGATTGGTGGATGTTGTAGGACACACATTCACATGACTCTTGTTTGAACAATCGCCCTCCTGTCTTCACGCAATCCTTTGTCTTGTGCTGTAAATTAGATTTTATCCGCCCCAGCATAGTTCGAACGGGAGGCATACACTCCCACATCCGACAAGGAGGGCTGAGTGTTGCTCACCGGACGGAACATGAAGTCGTATTCGATTATTGATTTCTTGAGTCAAAACACAGTTAGGGGAAGTGGCTAAAGACCGCAGAAAGACAGATGAAAAGTTTCTTTATGACGTTTTACGACTGCAGTTGAAGAGCACAAATCGATAGTTGTTGGATAATTGACCGCCTCTCGCATACGTTGCATAGTTTTGGAGAAAGTGGACAATCGGAGAAAAGTACTGTCATCTGCCAGTAGATTGAACAACATTTCAGTCACGTGGTTTGAGATAACGTTTCGATTGGCCACCGAAAAACGATAACCGGAAGTAGGGAATATTGTAACAAGTTTACTCATGAATTCCTCAGTTTTTATCCGGCCTTTCCTTTCTGACCCTGGTTATTTGAGGGACTCATCTCATTGGTCGGTCACTTCAACGTCAAATCCTTTTAATTGAGCCACGATGAGAATGACTCATCAACCAGATGAGTTATACAGAGACAGGAGAGAGACAACGGGAAGCAAGGAATGCTTCAGAAATCCTGAACACAAACTCGATGAAGAAACACGATCAGGTTTCTCTCCTCTCCGTGCACGGTGAACACGAGTTCGACTGGAACGACGTTCGCATACTTTCTCAAGCAAGGATAAAGGAGCGTCATTGAGAAATCGAAAGAAAAACCTTTAGAAGAGGCAGAAAACCCTGATTTAATTGGGCGTACTAATTTGATTGGAGCGGGTGACCGACCATTGAAATTGAAGGATTAAACCAGAGGCATCTAACTGGTTATCACTATAGCCATTACATTAGAGGAGAAAGGACGCTGCAGTCATCCAGAAGATTATAAGGTGCAAACTAACAAAAAACTACTAAAAATAGAAGGCCTCAGAACAACGGAGCAAATCAAACAAACCCAGACCACAATCCAATAGAAATCTTACAAAAAAGACCAATGAACTCTCAAGGACACTGACATACAACTAGCCAATAAAATCAGGTGACAACAGATACTCTTCTAATAAACGCATCCAACCGGCTACTGATGATGCCCACCACAGAACATTTTCAGGTGGCTTGCTCAGCTCAGTAAGCAGACCGACAGCCACTCGGTTTCCAATCAGTAAATACGATCGAGCTACCCACGTGGGTAAACGCAAATTCTCAGATTGATTCAACTCTTCATAACCCCGACTGAACTAGGCTGTTTTTGCTCGGCGTTGACGAGTAACATGACCTTGTCAGACCTTGTGGTTGCGGAAATTCCAATCAGTCAATAAGTAGTGCAGAGAAAGAAGAATTCCACAAGATGCGTGAAACTTCCATCTGAGAAGTGTTATCGGCCAGTCGGTACAGGACCAAGTAATGTGAGTTCCGTGATTACATGGAGCCATGTCCTGTCCAGGTGAGAGTTAATCACGCTACAGGCCAAACGGTTACGTGTTGAACCACTGGCCGTAAGGTCACCGATTAGAAAGGCTCCACTAAAGTCTCGTGAGACGCGCAGCGTTGTTAGCTCCTAGTGAGGATGAAACGGCTACGGGGTGCTTCTCGGCCTTTCATCACAGACCAACTTCACTTGCGAAATGATTTGGGTCACAGTGTCTGTTGGTTACCAAGCCGCGGTTGTTTTGCATGCAGTCTATTATCTTTTTCTGACGCTGCTACAAATGACCCAGAAAGAGGGCCATGTTGCTCTCCCTCGTGGAAAACCCTTTATAATCTACCAAGGTCATGCCTGTAACACACTCATAACTTGAGATCGAGTCCTTCCATGTCGTTCTTTTCAGTAAAACCAACACGACTCTCCGGTTATTTCGAGCGCTGGTGCAAGCAGGTTGGTTTCACACACACACACACACACACACACACACACACACACACACACACCGTGCTTCTGTGCGGAGTAAACAAGACCATTTGAGTGTGACAGTACTTGGGGGCGATTTTCAGCTTAGATTTCTTCTTGTCAGTTAGAGCAGTCTACGCTTAAAAGGTGAGAAACGAGGTACAATTGTTTCATTATTATTGCTAATAATCAGCGGTGTGATGAGATCTCATTTAAACAAGGTGTAGCACCGCTTGTGCTTCAATCACAGAACTCCCATCACGTGATCATATATTGACCGATTTCTCTAAAGAAGAATTCTCTATCAGCACATTCGGTTGTAGAATATCACAAACGAGAGATTCAGTTGAGTCTCTCTTGAGAACCCCAATTGATTTGCAAACGAGTGTATTTCTGGAAAACAGTCCAATTTGGGTTCAAGTAGAACATAAGGTTGACGGAACCTCGTGGACTACGCGCCTACCTGATGAGCCCGAAGTGGAAGGACGAAACCGGTCGTGGGCTGTCGAGCAGTCTTCAGCAACCTTGTGAGTAGTTAGCCCCTTCCGTGTTTTCAAAATGCTTAGAACGACACCATCCAAGTCTAGATGAATTCTTTATCGCAGAAAATCCTTTTTATTGAGGGGCGTTCGTTATACCGGTCAGATACCCGGCTGCTATCGGCTGAGGACTTTGAAGAACCCTTGATTTCATCGACGTCTTTTGGGGGCTGGTGGGGACGGCAGAGCTGAAGCACGTCGAATGTTCCTCAGAACAATGAATACCTCATGGTAGAAGAACTGATCACACTCGATTGGCCGCGCTAACTTGGTCGCGCGCTCCATATTCCAGTCAGCCGACTTCCTGTAACGACCTTTTTCGCACAGCCCCATGGAGGGTGGAAACGAGCCAGAGGTGGTCAAACAATGTCTTTGCAGCGAAGTATGAAAGCCATTACCAACCAACTCAGCTGAACTGGTGATTGTTACCTCCTTGAATGGGTACTCTAAGTCGGAACGTTTGGAAACATTGATAAACGTGGATCAGTCACGACGTTCCCATGGAGATTCTGGACCCGCGCGTCAGTGCTATTCACTACTGCATGGCGAGTGACGTTGTGGCAGCTATCAAAAAAAAAACTGTACACGGTTTACAGCCGATGATTTATCCTAGTTCCATAAATGAAGTGACTGACGAGTGTCAAGTCCATCCACCTATTCACCAATGGGAATGAATCACTTCTGCTAACGCAATCAGTTGACTTGATTAACACAAATGATGAATTGCCGTGAGTCGATTAATTAATTGCGGACACAAATTTCATGCGGTGTGAATGGAATTTGAATGACGCACTGTGAGTGATGAATGGTATTCAAAGGTGACCTCAAACAAATCCACTCGATTCAAGCGAATTTCTGATTTGTGAAGTGTACTGAGCACCAGTCTATTGAAGGTAAAACGATTTATCAAAATGCCCATATTACTCAAATGCAGTTGTTTGAAATAAAGTGCAACTCATTACGAGTTACCTGTCTGAAGAGTGATCATGCACTACAACAGTGACGTCGTTGATGTTACACTTCCATGTTGAATGATAGTACGTCGGAGACAGACTCCTATCTTCTAGGAGATATTATACTACTTATAAAGCATTCATTTGATTTCCTTGCGAGAACTGCTACTGCCTGCCGGAAACTTTGCCTAAAACAGACGCAGATTTAAAGCGGCAATCCAACTCTATGAAACGCTAAAACGGATTCCAAATAAACACTCACTTGTATTTTCATAAAGCGAACTACTCACAAGATTGCTGAAAACTCTTCGACAGCTCACGATCCATTTCACTTTCCACTTCAGGCTCACCACGTAGGCGCAGTGCCCGAGTTTCCGTCAACCTCATGTTCTACTTGAAAAATTGCACTGTTTTCGAGAAATACACTCATTTGCAAATCAGTTTGGGGTTTTCACGAGAGACTCAACTGAATCTCTCGTTTGTGATATTCTACAACCGAATGTGCTGATAGAGAATTCTTCTTTAGAGAAATCGGTCAATATAAGATCACGTGATGGGAGTTTTGCTGAAGACTCTTCGACAGCCCACGCCTCGTTTCGCCCTTCTTGAGTCTCTCTTAAAAACCAAATTGATTTGCAACTGAGTGTATTTCTCGAATTCACTTGTACTGTTTTCTATCAGCTTGCATTCTAATGCAGTTCTTGAAATGCATGTCCTGAGTCCGTCCACCCATTAACCAGTCAGTCATCGCGCAACATGTTTGCCTGTGATTGGGTACGGATGATGACGCAGCAGATGGCTTTATCCCTCCATATGATTGGTCAATTCCCATATTGATTTGTGTCACGTGCGTCAGTTCGCAGTGTAGCACATTCCCGATTGGTGTGTTTCTTTTCCGCTCCAAGGGCATCGCAATAGGAAGCATCATAGCGTGTAGTGCCAATGTTTTACTCAGGTTTACGCTCTTTTCGCAATCACAATGTTGGGCGCAATAAAGAACACGTCATTCTATGGGTGTAATACGCTACTCACAATTTGCTGGAAACTCTTCGACAGCCCAAGACCGGTTTCGCCCTTCTTGTAGCTTATCAGGTAGGCGCAGTCCCCGAGTTTCCCTCAACCTTATGTTCTACTTGAACCTAAATTGCACGCAATTAGCGAAATACACTCATTTGCAAATAAATCGAGTTTTGCGAGAGACGGATTCACTTAGAAACACCATAAATGAGAGATGCAGTTGGGTTCCAGCTGAGTCTCCCACAAAAACAAATTTGTTTGCAACTGAGTGTATTTCGAGAAGAGACGCCTGCAAGCGAGCTCGGCGAACAGATCAACAGCCACCTGAGTTAAAACAAGTTTGCACACTCAGCGTATCAGTATTTTTTAATACTGTCAAACAATTTTTTGTCTTAGTAATCGCACTCAATTCTAAGGAATTTTGATATAAATGAAAGAGACATAGGGGCTGAATGTCACATGCTACTGGTTCCAAAACGAAGAGGAATTCCTCAGCAAAAAAGAAGGGCATTTTGAAGACTTGATTCTTCCTTCAGACGGGTTAAAAGAAGGTTTCACACTCACATCACTCTCGTTGGAACAGTCGTGCTCTTATCCTGGTGCAGTCATTCTATGAGTCTCTATCAAACGGTGGAAACACTGGACTAGCGTTTGCCTCTATTAGACCTCAGTAGCAACGCGGATGTTTCGATTCCCGGCATCTGAAATGAGGAGGGAGCATGTTTCCACTGATCCACCAGCGACGTCGGACGTATCTATATTGTCACGTCTGAACCGGCGAAACTGTTGACGCTTGAGCGATGTGATTGATTCAACGGACACTTCGAAAGACGACCAACTACTTTTCCCGGTTGTGCCGATCGATTGACCCACCTGGGAAGATTTCCCAGTCAGGTAGCTCAGACAAGCGCTAGAAGCTCAGTGGATACTTTTTGGATTAGATGTAGATGGTTGCGTGACTTGTAGAATTCAAGCTCATAATACTCTCATTTACCATTAAGTAGTATGCTGGCGATTCAGGTAATATAGACGGTCCACCGCTTACTTTCTAAACTGGAAAATTCGGTTTAAACAGTTTCATTACCAACCAGGAGGAAGTTATAAGCGCATCTTTTTGGAATGGAAAGTGTGAGTGTTGTCACCTTGTTTGATAATCAGGCTGCCTGTCCTAAACAACAGCATGACGATAGAATAAACGCATCTAAAATAACCTTGTTTTTCCGAACAACTGAATCTCTCTTTCATGTTTCCGTTGGCACGATATCCGATAAATCACAGCGTGTATTCTTGGCATAACATACTACTCATTTGGTCGCTGAAAACACATCCGCATCGGCTTATGGCCGCTTTAAACCTTATTTTGACCGCTCGAATTTCTATTAACCCCACGGTGCGCTTGAGCGTCAGATTTTACATAGTTGACCGAATACACTCATTGAAAGCATATTTTAAATGAGAGATTTACTTAAGCACCACAGAAATTTCCAAGTGTACATCGATAATTGCAGACAACTAGGCGTTCAGGCAGATCCCGGAGTTAACGAAAACTTGGGAACTAAGCCGACATGACGAATTCCAAAAAGGGTGAAACAGGTGATGAGCTTTCGAATCTATTTCAGTATTGTGTTCTCGAAATAAAACTGAGGGCCACAACAAAATAGCAATACCTTTTCAGTGCCTGGCTGCCTAGTTCCTTGCGGAAGGAAGAAAGAGGGCTTGGAGATTGTCAGATTGCCCAAGTCTAGGCAAGAGAAGTATGGATCTAGTAGTCGGGTTCGAGTCGTGAACTCAAGGTCGACAAGGTAGTGCCCTAGCCGTTGGGCCACCTCACCTTTTTTAGATTTTCGCGGGAGACCGATGCAACACCCACCTGAATGTTCCGTCTACGAATGTGCTGCGTCAGACAACCTCATGTTACAGTTGATAAGCTATTCGAGATACGGCAATACATTGTATCGATGTGACACATAACCCAGTCTGGGTTTAAGTAGAACCTAAGTTCGACCGGAACTCTGGGACTGCGCCCATCTGGAGAGCCTTATTGAGGGTGAAACTCGTCGTCAGCAACCTTGTGAGCAGTGTGCGACGTCTAGACAGAAACGCACTGCGATATCCCGAACATCGTCCCAACTGAAACGTCAGGTTGTGTGGTGCAGCACATTCCGTTGAAGTTGGTCGTCATAGGCAAGAGATCCGCGTGGATTTGGTCAAGTCTCCTGCCCAGACTGGACTAGCGTACAAATGAAAATATTCGTCTAATTTCGCGCACTTCGAGTTCATAAAGAACATAAGGGGACTGCGCCTAGTTGATAAGTCTCAAGAAGGGCAGAAACAGTCGTGGACTGTCGAAGAGTTCTCAGCAACTTTGTGAGTAGTTTCCTTCGTGAAAATATAGTTCGATATCTCGAATATCGTTCCAACTGTATCATGAGACAGCCTGTGTGCAGCACATTCAGTTGAAAAACATCAAAAACGAGTGATTCAGTTGAGTCTGTCGTGAGAACCAAATTGATTTGCAAATCAGTGTATTTGACGGAAACTTAGGGGCTGCGCCTACAGAATGAGTGCCAGGAAGGGCGAAACCGGTTGTGGGCTGTCGAAGAGCTTTCATCATCCTCATCCTCATCATCCTGATCATCATCATCATCATCATCACCATCATCATCGACAGCATGACATCAGTACTCAACACCGATGCTTGACTGCCGTACAACCATGATTTATTTCAAAACCTTATTGTGAAGCAAAGAATAAAATTGGACGAATGGACTTAGCGCTGGCTCAATACAGTCATTCCGAGGTGCCTACACCTCCAAACACTCACTCAGGCAGTCTGGATAGAAACTGACAACAAGATCGCCGGGTGGTAGCCATATCTTGCAGCGTCTCCAACCAGGCACAGTGAGGATCACGCGGTCCCCATCCTGGAAATCGGGTGGCACCGACAACACTCAAACGTTTCGTGATTTCTTTTATCTATCCCAGCCAGGTCAAGGGTTCTCCACCCCTCTGGTTCCGCCACTCGGAGTTGAGCATGGAAAACAGCACTCTCTTCGACAAACGACGGTTAGGCATACGCAACACATGTCTCAACCAACGCAGCTTCTGGTGCTGGACACGTTCTTTAATGGAGACACTCGTTGCACAAGCGAAACTCGCTTTCTAATTGCCTCGTTGCGGATACGCCGAGACCAACCCACACGACACAGCTATATAAGGGGTTTCATTCATCTCATGAAATTATTCTTCTTCTGTGCTACTCATAAAGTGATGATAGCATGGGGGTTTTTGGTAGTTCTAACTGAAATTTCGTTCTGTAAAAGCAACTTGTCCATGCTGAAATGCTGAGGAGTACTTTAAAGCTGCTTTTTTTATTCGTTCGGATTCATCAGCTGTGCAGAGCTTACGAATATTTAGGTCAGTTTGATCCCATAAACTCTGTCGGTAGTTGAAGACCACAGCATTGGGCCAAGATCGGTCACCGGTCGAGGACGCCCTCATGTGATGCGGCTTGCCTGACGAGGTGGGGGGTGAGGAGGCTACACACTGTCCAATTCAGAGTTATTGTCAATGCCGGTAAGCCGCTCGTGGCCAGGCCTTATAGCCTAGAGGCTATGATTTCAACCAACCCCCTTCCGCTACGAATATTTTTGAGGAGGCTACTGTCCAATTCAGAGTTATTGTCAATGCCGGTAAGCCGCTCGTGGCCAGGCCTTATAGCCTAGAGGCTATGATTTCAACCAACCCCCTTCCGCTATGAATATTTTGATATTCCCTCACGGATAGTTCCTAACAATGACGAAACATCCGTACAGTGCCCCACGACTTTTCGGCATGAACTGAATTCACCTACCTGCAAGGTACAAAGTCCATCAAAACCGTTCAAACCTCCACATGCGTCCATTTGGTAGGAAATCCCAAGTTTTCAGTAGTTTATAGTAGTAGGTGTACTCCCAACATGATTGTGGTCACACACTCATTCAGGCGTCCACTGATTTAACTGACTCATGGTTTACTCCTGCGACAAAGAATGCGGATTAGCGGTTCGTTTTTCCTGCAATCAAGCGGTTGAGTTAGGAAAAAAATAGGAAAGAACATCACAACTTGTAAAGTTACTCAGCGTTGTAAACTGAGGTTGCCTATCGGTTATTCCTGAGTTGGGCCTGCTAGATTACGTGGCAACGGAAAACAGAAGTCCAAGAGGATGGTTGTTTGGTGTGTAAATAGATTTTGAGATGGGTGAATGACCAAATATGGACACTCACTTTGTTAGCTCTTGTCTATCCAACGGTGACGTTCGCGACGTGATTGCTCTCATACCCACTCTACCAGTGAAAGAAAGAAGGCCTTCGCTGCGGAGTTGTTTGTTGGAAAATGCCAACCGAACACTTACAGTAAAACTCTCATACGCATCTTGTTTACAAAAACTGAGTATCCATCTTCTCTTTAAATGTGTCTTTCTGAACTTTCCTGGATATTCATTGACTGTTGCTCAAATCCAAGCGATTGCTACAAAGCGTCTCCACAAATTCCGCAAGAGATCTCACTTTTCAAGAGACGTAAAGCGGATTTACGAGAAAACATACTACTCGCATGCCTCCTCCATCAGTAGTATCACCGTTACACCAGTCGTATGTTACCAAGCCGTTTTTGGTATGGATGCGTCCTGAAACTCACTATGTACTCGAACGGTGCGTTTGAATGGACAGGTTCCCAAGTAACCAAGTTCGTCCGTAATATCGCTTCGCAACCTCACAACCAGTCGCATCACATCGTCACGGCCACCTGAAATTAATTTAAAAAAATCAACCAAAATGTAAGATCTCGATTCGAGTTGAAACGTCGAATCTGCCAGAAGTTCATGAGAAGCCCACTGACTTACAAAATGAGCGAAACGAAGTGAGTTCTGATTCCACACAAGTTCCTCACGCTGATGCTCGATCAGAAGTTCGTCTTTTGTCCATTGAAATCAGCACGAATCCACTTTAAATGAGGGACAGATTGAGACGTACCAATAAGAGTGACATCCAGTGTTGTTTGTTTAATCATCCTCAGTTAAGAAACGGTACAACGTTGAAATAGTCGGACAGAAAATTCACACAGTAAGAGCATTTTTTTGGTTCCCTTTGCGCGTAACACAACGGGCCGGAAGTTCCCTTTACTCATTAAGGTCAACCTAGGACGAATCACGTCAAATTTCCGTTCACTTCTGTCTCGAACGCGACATGTTACGTCACCGGGACATAAGAGGGAGACAAACAGTTTGAAGAGTGATTAAAAGCTGAGTTGAGTATTACGAACAGTTGTACATAGGATAAAAATATCCCTTTGGTTGTGTACTAGTTTGGCCGAAAAATTCGGTTTGTTCGAGCACTCTAAGTGCACACCAGGGACCTATAACGTCATGACATCAGTCTGTATGTATTCCTGTTAAAAGCAAGCAATGTCTTCTACCCAAAAAGGAAGTTCGGAGCGGGTTTACCTTAAGCAACACTGTCTGAAACACGGGATGAAAACTGATGTTCTCTAGGCCGTTGAGTTATTTTCCTGACCAGTCTTATATCAGTGAAAGGAAGAAAGCCTTCGCTGCGGAGTTACTCCATAGAAAATACCAACTGATCAGTTACAGACTATTGGACAGGGAAGCGAAACTCTCATACGCATCTTGTTTACAAAAACTGAATATCCTTCTTCTCCTTGAACGTGTCTTCCTGAACTTTCCTAGATATTCATTGACTGTTGCTCAAATCCAAGCAAATGCTACAGAGCGGGTCCATAAATCCTCAACAGATATCCCTTTTCAAGCGAATTTACAGGAAGAACACATACTACTCACATGCCATTCCCGTCAGTAGCACCACGTTACATCAGTAGTTAGCCAACTAGATAGCTTGACTTCCCAGAGCTTTGCCAAATAAGTTCACAAGTTACGTAGTACAAGTACAACTGTCAGAACGTCTGGTAAGCCAGTCTATGGTAAAAACTGTGAAGCACTTTACGGAGGTTTCATCCCCAGTGAGAATCAGCTGCGGTGCTGATCTCAGGAAATTCCAGGGAGTCTCAAACCCACTAGCTAGGAGTTCGACAAAATGGTCGTTCAGTCACGAGCGTCTGATCAGCGGCCAACTGAACATTCAGTTGACAAGTTTGGTCACGTGATTGGAGAATGTGTGTGTGGCACTGCGTTCTGTCTAAGTGAGCGCTAGTCACATCGCTGTTCAGTCGCTCGTAGCCGAACAGTCAAGTGTTCAAACCACCAGTCAGGAGATCGTTGTTCCGGAACTTCCTGGTGAACTTTCATGAGCTTCGCATTGCCGATGTTTTTTGGCTTTTTGATCTCGATCAGCTTCACCCCCAGAGTGAACTCTCGAGTTTCGTAGGGGAGGATCCTAGAAACTTGTCTTAAGCTCGAATCCGGCTCCACACCAGTCGATTCTCATGACTACGTCACAACGATCATGAGTAAGAAGATAAAGTATTCTCAACGCACCTTTTCCGTACCAAAAAGGGATTCACAGAGTTTGAGGACAATGTGAATGGCAAACCAAAGCACTGTGGGCAAGCGGCAATTGTTTTGTAATCACTGGAAGTCCGAATGGTTCAATGGGCGCGCTTCTGTGTCACGCATTCGCCAGATCATAATGAGAGGTATTCATACAGGGCGAGCTCGAGCATCATTGATTGACTGGATAACGCAAGGTTCGTGATTTTTCTTCGGGCTAATATTGCTCCGAAATAGCCATTGTATTTACCATGCTTTACGTAAACTCGGTGAAAATGCGGGGGAATGGTATCGACTTCAGCGGATAGAACTATTGCACTCGAATATGCCGCACTACTGATTGTCGCGCATTAACTCCGAAATAATCGTCTTCTAGTATTTCGTTGATCTTGGCTGAATATTTGTGAGTAATTTATCATCATCATCATCATCGTCATCATCATCATCATCATCATCATCATCCGAATCATCATCATCATCATCCGAATCATCATCCGAATCATCATCATCATCATCATCATCATCATCATCATCATCATCATCATCATCATCATCATCATCATCATCATCATCATCATGACGGACGTCAAAATATTTACCATCAACACCAGAGGAGAACGCCAACGTTCCATTGATGTACAACCATGCCGATTTGTTTGAACATAGCCTGACATACCACAAAATCACAAGGTTAGTAACTCACAGTTTAAACAGCTCTGACATCTGTTAACCGCCAACAGGTAGAGGGCGGATAACGTGGTCCGCATCCCGGAGGGTGAACAAGTCCACCGGTTCTCAAATCCCTTGTAGCATCTTTCGTTCTCTCCTGCCACGTCACATTCTGTTCACTTCTGGGTTTCCGCCCCTCCCCTCCGAATCGGGCACCGAAATCAAAGTTCGTGTTGGCAGGCAGTAAATGGGCAAGCATGGCACAGGGTCCAGCGAAGTGAGCTTGCAAAGATTGATGCATCATTTGGAGGAAGTACCTTTTACTTTACCAGAAGGCCGTCTTCTGATAACCTCATCGCGAAATCGTTGATTGCAGCCAATTCCAGGTACACTTGTGGAACTTCGATGGTCACAGGAAGATCAAAGCAAACAATCAATTAAACAAGGTCAATCGATCGTCACCGGGTCGTCGTTCGATGAGTCGTGCACACTAATCACATCGCCTGTTCAGACGTGAAAAATCAGAGGCGTCCAACATGCGTTGGTGGAGTAGTGGTTACACGCCCGCCTCGCATGTCAGATGTCCGGGGTTCAAACCTCGGCGCGGCCATTGGATATGCACTGCTGATTCGCTCTTATAAGAGCGAAACTCGAGACCAGTGCTTCCCCCCTTTGGTGTGGACTCACCGGAATAATTACGCCAGAACAGGGGGGGAGGGGCGAGCGTTCAAATGAGAGTGGTGTGACTATGAACAAAATACCTATCCCGCGAAACCCCAAAATTGTAAACAAGGATAGTTGATCAGAAGGGTATTGCCGTCGAACTTCTCCCCGTTGAAACAAGTCAAGTTATTACGCTACACGACCGTTCCCAGAAACCGAAAAAAACATTATGAGGTGTGATTTTGTGCAACTCAACATCCTTCCCCTCTCTGCAATGCAGCTTCAATCTTTCCACCGTTTGAGGTCGTTGCTTTCGAAGACTGTCTTCAAAAGAATGCCCTATTCAACTTGCATGACCACGCTGCATGTTAGCCAGCTAACATGTGTTCTTCAAGTTGCAAGTTTCCTGTTTGAAAGATCTGGGAAGTACATTCGTAGAGAAAGTGGCAACTTTGCGTGCGAAACTGAAGTACTTTCCACATCCAATGTATGTCTTTTCTTGTCAGTTCGATCA